GACTGCGGTGGAAAAGTGTCTTTTTTCGTTTTTTCTGACTGAAATTATTCCAAGGGTATAACAATTTTTTAGCATGAATTTGTATAAAAAGTAAAGCCAGATTTTTTTGCCAAATTTTGCAATAATAAATGATTATATGAAAACAATGAAAGAAGATAATTTAATTATTTTCTAGAATTTTTTTTTGGCAGGCACTGTTATTGAAAAGATGCGCAATTTTAACGTTATTGTGTTTTCTTGCCATAAAAATTTGCTCCATACTGATAGTACCAAAACTCAATTAAGAAGGGCACGGTGCTAAAAAATTTTACCGATCTAATTTGAAAATTCACAATCTGCACGGAAAATGGGGAAGTATTTAAAGGCAAAGAGAAAAGACTAGACGCTTTTTTGCCCTTATTTGGCCAATTTATGTAATGTAAAGGAGCGCGGTTTTGACACGCAGAGTTTACAAAAATGAGTATAGCAATTAGCCAAATGCCTGATGTTACTTAGTCAGAATTCTCATCTTAAATGATAATGAAAAAATTATCTAAAATTGTTAAAATTCAACATTGTCTTTTCTCATCGTTTTTTTATTTTATTTAGGAAATGAATGGAGATTTGGAAAGATTTTTTTATCAGAACTCATTTTCAAATGATTAATAAAAATTTGACCTAATCAAATTTCAATAAAACATTACTTGACACTTAAAAAATAAAATCGATGTGGATTTTCACCAGTCTGGCAATTGTATTTATTTTCCAGTGTCAGGTTTCGCCTGGATTATGACCCATCCACCAGAGCTTTCTTTTTCCATTTGATTAATCGCACCAGCACAGACCGGTTTTATTGCCATAATGCACTTTGCTGCAGAATGAAATTTTATTTACTTATTATATGATAATGGATGCAGCTCTGCTGGCGTCTCTATTCACTTGTTTCTACAATTAATCGCGATCGTTCATTGATGCACCTCGCAATTGCGCAACAATCAGCCTCGCGTGTGTTGGGAATTTTAATATAAATACTTTTCCTTCTAACTCTTTAATGCTCTTTTCCTTTTGTAGGTTTCGAAATGAAGATTTTCTGTACACTCCTTCATGGCGTGACATTTAGAAGGAATTCTGCTTTTGAACATGCGAGATGATGTTGTTTTTCCCGACTTGCAGCTCTCCATGTCAATAAATTCTCCAGACCACTCAAGGTCCTGAACTGCATTCGGCACTTTATGGACTCTCATTAAGCAATTAAAGTTTTCGGGGTTTTAAACATGCATAGGCTTTAAAACGGAAAGGGAATGTGCAAAAGGTAAAGAGATCGAAACTGGCCGAGGGCAAATAAGTTGTTGGAACGCACTTAAGACGAGTAATTGAGCTGCCCTGAAACCTTTTTGAGGTGCAAAGTAAGCCATATATTTAGGTATTTGAAAGTTAAAAAATTCATGGTTGTATATCATCATAAATTATGACTTCGAAGAGTATTATTATATGGATATGTTGGCAGATTAAATTAATGCCGAATTTTCACTTATTTTTAAAGACCTTGCTTATGGAAATAAGATTGCAAGTCCTTAAAAGGTTATCAAGTGGTTCACACTTGCTAATTTATGATAGTTAGAAAAATCCTTAAACCAAATAGTTTTTTTCTTCATTTTTTATATTTATATGTTTCATATTTTTCTCAGTCGGAAGGAGTAACTGATAATTCTATATTTTTTGTACTCGTTATTGTGCTCGATATAGGATAAAGATTATACAGTAGTTGCACCCTTAATAATCAACTGGCTCATGCTAATCTTTGATTAATACAATACTCGTAGCAGTTTCGAAATTATAAAAATATTAAATTCTATTAAAAATATTTTTAATAATATCTCGATTTTTTTCCCGAGATTTCAGTAATTTTTACATATTTTTCTTACGCATTTTTATTTGAAAGTGACAGTAAATGAGATTAAATCGTGGTTTTTTCTAAGAGGTGATGTTTTAAATTATATTTAATAGTTAAATTAATATTAAGACCTATTAATTTGTGTAAATAGATTTTAGGTGGTTTGATGTAAATGTAGAAAAAAGATAATGAACGCCAAATCATGCTCTCTATTTTTTTTCAACAATTCAATAAAAGTTTTAAATACAACTGCTTCTATAATTGTAAATTCCATACTTCTGTGCATTTTTTTTAACTTCATTTTTTTATACTCATTGCCACTGATCTGATAAATATTTAAACTTTGGCGAACAGTTTTGTATATAAAGAATATTCCAAATTTATATTGCATTTAAGATATTATTTAATTGTATTAGGATCTTAAGTTACAATTTTTATTACAAATTTTAATTTAGCTTGTTAAATAATGCAGGAAATTCACAATTTCCACATATTCAGAATGAATCCGGTTAATATGTCGTTTATGGACATTTTCGACATTTTAATGGTTAATTGCAGCTTATTATCTTTTTAATTTTATGTCACCTCTACAGCAGTAAACCGAATTCGAACATCCGCTTGTCGCAACCACGCTGCTGTGCGCTATGAAAGCTCCCCGCGGTTTCCACATTTCACGGCGAGCCGGTCCATACATCTCTCATCTGGTGCGGCTGCTGCTGGAGAGGTGCCCGAAAGCTGAATTACGTGCTTTTGCGAGCGCACGCGGCCGTCTGTCCATACCAGCCACGCGGCGAGGAAAATAACACTTGATCCTAAAACTACATATTAAACAACATAAGCAACACAGCGGCAGATGAGCCGACACGCAGTATCATCTGGAAGATCTTTCAGATCTTTCTTCAGAAAGCCAAGGCGAACGACAAAACGCGCGCCGGCGGCCCTGGCTGGACTTTTAAACTTTGCAGGAAAATCAAGACAAATTGCCTCTGATCCACACTCACTTTAGAGAGGGTCTCTGTGACGGCAATTAGCGAAATTTCGCGCCAACCAAACGCGCGGAAATGTGATTTATATACTCTCTTGAGGTTACAATGACGCGCAATTAGCAACGTGTGGGCTTTGTTTGCAATGACACTTTACTTTTTCTTTGCGCGAAATTTTGCACTTTATACTTCTTTTGTGTTTTTGGGTGGACTGCAGATTTTATACGCTTGTGAAATCCAACAAAGGTCACTTGTCTCTGAAAAGAAGTTGGCAATTTCAGCAAAATAAAATTTTGTGAAACACGTGTAAAAGTCTTCATTTTTTTAAATAGAGAGCGGTATTTGTTTGTCAATTGAATCTGACTTTTATAATTTTAAGTTTCTTAAAAAGAAATTTTTATATAATTATATATGAGGGGCTTCTCTGAAGATAGTTAAAAATTTGCATCTTTCCTACAACGCTGGAGGAACTATTACTTTAAGTCTGAATGCAATCTTTCCCACCAATGTTCTTCTAGCTCAAATTGTAGTTGATTTCTGGGTGATTTGTTGCTTTGCAATCCGTTGTGCATTTGAAAGACCGTTAAAATATTGGGTGCTAATTAATGCTATTAAGTTTTGTTTTGACAAGGAAATTGGTGCTTTTGGGTGAACTCTTACCTTTTTGAAAGAGATCTTATGGCGATTCAAGGTTCTCCGCTGGAAATAATCGTTTGCATCAAGAATCTGCTGCTTCTTTGCGTCGGAATGCGTTTTTTGTGTCTTTAATTGACGCGCGCAGAGTGCAAAGCGCTCGGTTTTATTGTCGAAAGGTAGAATTTTTTCTACGAACTGAGAGAGTGAATAAATTCTTACTATATTCGTTTAATTTTTAAGTCAGGTCTGCGTTATATAATAATAAAAAAATACCTAACATTATTTAAAAACAAAAGTGGCTTTCTTCATTACGACAAGTATCTATTTCTTTTTTTAGAGCAAAAATTAAAGGAGCAGAAAAGAGCAAGAGGTAGATAATGTGTATTTGTGAATAAATTATTCCATAGATCGAATAAATGACGAAAATCTTACTCTGGTTAAAAAGTCTCCTAAAAAGACACTTTTTAACTGAAACTACCAAGCATAATATAATTTTTTTATAGCAAACAGTTTCAATATTTTTTCTAGTGGCAATCTTTACTAAATTACGCTGAAGTAAAATTTAATTAATATAATAATTTCGTTTATAATTTTTATTATATTATGCAACATACATGAAGAAACAGAATTTGACAAAAGTCAAGTTTTCTTAAGTAAATTGTAATCCATTTAAAGTAACAACAGCTATTATATAAAAGAAATCAAATAAAAAAAGTAAAAAAAAAATGATTAATTCATTGTTAAAAATATTTTTATGTATAAAATAAAAATTTATTTTATTTTACAATAAAAAAATTAAAATTAATTTAGATGTAAAATTAGAATGAATATTGTCTGGAGTAAATAAACAATAAAAATTACATATAAATTACATAAATTCAGAGTTACAACTTTCATGCCAACTTTTTATTGCTAAATTATGTAAACCTTATAAACCATAAATTTGATTTCAAGATTTTCCTCCATAATAATCCAGCTTGCAGACGCTTCTTGACTTACATTGAAAAATAATGCACATTTTAAGATGCAAACTTAAAAAAATCTGAGAATTTTAAGGAAGCTCGGAAGACATGCAAAAATACGGCACGTGCTGTGACTCAAAGAAATTCTTTGATAAAAAAAAAAATAGCCACTTGAGAGGGACCTTCGGTTTCCGAGAAGAATTTCCACGATTATATGCAAATTTCAAAGCACAATGGTACTACTTGACGAAAATTACGCGCCTGCCATATTTGGCGAGTGAATCTCTCTCTTGTCGAGGAAGAGACAAAAACCCGCTCCTTGAAGTTTCCGAGGGTGCCTTTAATAATACGGCGTGATAAATCGTGGCAGATGATCCTTGAAAACTCGTTCCTTTTGCCACCAGCAGACGCGCTATAATTTTACAATCTAGAGGGATTTATGGTGGAAAAAGGTGCTGGGGCTGCAATGGTGTGGCTGGCGCGGGGATGTCCTTGCATCTCCGCCGGTCCAGAGAGAGTGCTCGGTGGGGGCGACAGGCTATAAGAGGAGCATCCTCTTGCTGCAGGGATCACAAATTCGTGTGCCTTACCTTCTTCACTTTCATCTTCGACAGAGGTGAGTGTGCTTTTGCTCTCGGTGGTGCTCCGTCGCAACCAGCAGCCAGTGCTCTGCCCGACCTTTTTGGATTATTTCTGCGAAACGCCGACCAAAGTGTGCAGATTAGTGGCAATACTTAAATTTATTCTTTATTTTCAAAATATTATTCAGACAAATTTGCAATTTATCCGCAAACTCAATTTTTTTCTTCAAATCATTACTTTGTAAATATTAGATATATTAAGTGGAGGATATTTTTTGATTAAATAAAACGATTACAATCGTCATTGCTTTACTGGATTAATTCTTAAAACAATCTGATTTGAAATCACTTAAATATCAACAGATTATCAATTGCTTTCAGTTATTTACATTCCCATTTTCAATCAATAAATTACACTTTTTGTCACTTCATCAATGATTTTTCAAATCTTATTCTCATTTATCACGTTTTTAGAGTATATCTTTATTGAGAGTTGCCATCTATTCTTTTTTATGTAGGGTTCATATTTAATTTATTTATGAAATAAGACACTCATTTACATTCAACTTACACTCCAGATAAGAATTGTAATTTTCTTACACATCCTATCAATTTTTACAAATGCAACTTAAATTTGAATTATTTTGTTTCCTATTTTAACTGTTTCAATTTGTTTCTTTAAACATAAAATTTGCTTTTATATTAGTAGATATTTTTAATGCAAAATATGGTTTAAAAAATAAAGTTAACTTAAAATAAAATAGTCCATATATTTAAAAATAAATAATCAAATAATAGAAAATTATATAATTTTGAGTAAAATAATTTATATTTTATATAATCAAAGACAAAGTAATACACCCGTTTTTGTGAGTATTGAGTATTGATCAACACATTAAAATTTTTATTTGTCTTTCGTAATTCGCTGTAAAAAGACGCGTCATACAAAAAACGCTGGAAAAAAACTTTAAAGGTGTCGCCGTGCAATTAGCATATTCGCAGAATAAATAAACGCACCTTCTTCACATGCTCAATAATAATAATAATTGTCACTTGAGAACTGCGCGCGCCTTAACGGTACGCATTGAGTACTTCTTGATTCTCGAAAAAGAAAGTTGTGTAATCGGCGATCTTCAGCGAGTTACGACTCATCTCTCTCGCGAAGGATTACGCGCCTGTTGCATAATGACCCGCGCGCCTAATGCACACGGCGATTAATTATTGAGAAAGGACTTGAATTTTTTTGGCACATCGAGAGTGACATGTATTGAGCGTTGAGAAATCGACCGCGGTGACTATTCATTAATTTCACTTATTCGAAATTGAATCTTAGCCCTGGGACTAAAGAGGTTTCCAGGTTAACTATTAATCGTTCGTTTCTTGTGTGTGTTTCAGAAAATGCGGCAACTCGTAGCTTTGTTGCTCGTCGCAGGTGAGTCTTGAATAAAATTGCGTGTAATTTCCTAATGTTGTTAGCATGCATGCTCCAACCTCTGGTTTTTATATTCTTGAAAGTAAGCCAGACGTTGAACTCAGCAGAGAGGAAAGAAAGAGAAATAAATATAATCGTGGTTGGAATTTCCTCGTCCAATTTGAATGCTACCCACAGCATGCAAATCATGTCTCTAATGCTCATTGCGTGAAGATTTTTAAATAGTTAAATTTTATTTTACTTGACCTCACAAGTAACACCAATTAAGGTACGTAATATTTGCATAGAACATAACCCGCTCAACAGGAAAGACAAATTTATTAGTAAAGAAATTCTTATTTCTTTCTTCATCATTAAGGGCCTCAAATTCAGAAGGAAGGTGTTATTAATGATTTTAATTTGAGCAGTTTTTGTATGCTTAAAAAACATTTCAATAGCACTTTAATTTTATTTTTTACCCTGAGAACTAAATTTAATATTATTTTTTGCAAATGTCTGTATAGGGAATTAAGCATTTTATGAAAAAAAATTAACAGGTTTCATACAAATATTTAATCTTTTTGAAATGAAATTAATTTCTAAATTGTTTCTTTCTCTCCATTCAGTGATTGCGTACGTCTACACTGACAACACAGTGCTGCACAGGGTATGTTGCATTATTTTTCTCTCTCTCACCAAAGGTCACGCCTAAATGGATAGTTCACGTCCAAATTTAACAAGCTAATTATTTCAACACGAAGGTGTATTTATTTCTAAAATTAGTAAACCCAACTTTCGTTTTCGGCAGTCCAAGCGATGGGAGGAGTTCCCGAACGTGACCTTCACCTTCGACTGCACCAACAGGCCGATTGGATTCTACGCCGACGTTGAGCACCATTGCCACATTTTCCACATGTGCGACGAGGAGGGCCGCAGGATCCCGTACATCTGCGCCAACGAGACTGGATTCAACCAGGAGTACAGGGTCTGCGACTGGAACTACAACTTCAACTGCGAGGACGCTCCCAACTGGTAAACTCAATTTTATTTTAATTGTGCAATTTACTTAATTTCCCAATTGCAACAGCAAAACGGTTTTCTTCAATTGGTCGCTCAATTTTATTTAATTTTCAAAACCATATCTCGTCGTTATCTTGTTTTCGCTTCAATTTATTTCTGACCGCGAGCTAATTTGAAAATTTTTAATTCTGGTCGGTTCTAATTAGTTAGTTGAAGCGGCTGATTTAGCGTTTTATAACCTCCGTTTCCTTCCGGCGCTCTTTTCTAGATAATTTATTTGTTCCGAGGCGGCGCGCGCGTGCCTCTGCCGCTATAACTGCACGCGTGAAATGATTTTCCACACATTCACTCCTTCTCAGCAGTAAAAGAATAAAAAAAGTGCCGCTTATCTTATCGTCCATCATCTGTTTATGTCGTGCTGCATAACGGGGAGAAACAAAAATTCGCCTTTCTTTCACCTGCCTGCACTTTTGATAATTTTTTAAAATATTTATGCCTTCAATTTAACCCAAAGATAATTATTCAAGTTTTAATTGGAGTTTTTAATCGTTGCTCTAAAATATAGTAATTTTTCACGCTCTTATTAGAATTAATTCCAGAAAGAATTTTGAATAAATTATCCTGAATTAGGTTAATCTAGTCAGTGGGCATGGAAATGAAACTTTTGTATCTTTAACTGCACCTCACTTTTGTTAGTAAGTTGAACTTGAGAGGCGAATTCAAGTAGCGTTATGTCAATATTAGCCAGTAGCACGTGAGGTGGAACAAAGAGCTCTCTTGGTTTTTTTTTTATTGTCTTGTCGCCGGTCTATTGACTCGGCGCCCCAAATTTGTGAAAAATAAGACTTTATTTGTTCTTTCTTGCTTCAGGTACTACCTCAACGAGCTGACTTACGTGACTGATCCTCCCAAGGAGAAGAAGAACAGAAACTAAGTCATCATCCCCGCAACGAGACGGAATTTCCAACAGTGCCATTTTGTCGCACGAAAATGTAAATAATATAACTCCTCGCACTTTCCATTTTTTAAATACTTAGTAAAATGCTCATTTCTTGGTAGAAAAATAAATAAAATAGGGTTTCCATTGTATCAACTGTGTGTAGCTTGGGGCCGAAATCAAACCTGACAATCTCTCTTTTACTTCGAATGTTTTGTATAAGACACGTGTTCATATATATTTTTTTTTAGCTTTTTGTACAAAAGCAACTGGAAATTTTACAAATGTAAATGCAAAAAACAATGAAAATAAATATATATCTCAAGATGAATAGATAAAACGCAATCGAACGTTTTTAATTTCTCACTCTGCATTGTGCAAAAGCTGCAGGTGTTGACCCGAGGCAAATGGGTCAACCCACCTCCAAAGGTCGCGCGGAGATGCGCTGCGTTCGTGCAAGAATGTCTCCCTGTGGAAACTGACGGAGATTCTCAGCCGCACTTTTACTTTTTAGTTTGATTATTTGTTGACATTTGCCCTTTGCTGAGGTAACGCGCGCGCCGCGTTATTCATTAGTATATTTACATAACAATGTGACGGCCAACGAGTCGCCAAATTTCTCGCCGCGGCCCCGTCAGATGGAGAGAGAGATGCTCTAAAGGTTAAGAAAGGCTATCTGTCCGAAGATCTGGACGAGCTTGCACACAATCTGGTTTGCGTTGAAGAAACTTTCAAAACGAGTCGGTTATTAAAAAATCTCTTGGGTGTGTAATTAAGGCCGCTGAGATGGTGCATTGTGTTGCGCTTGAATGTTTTATTGCTGCGGGGCTGTAGATTATAAATTTGCTCAGATGGTCCGTTAGTGGATCAAATGCCATTTCATTAGACCAACGGAGCCATTAAGGAATTTGGTTTGGGAATAGGAGCAACTGTGACTAATTGATCAATATGAAATTCGATAAGATTGATATGTAATTATGGTTATGTAGTGCACACAGATTAGATGGTGAGATTTTGGTTCATCTTGTCTTCTACAATTTGAAGTATCGGAATCAGGATCAGGATTTTCTCGTTTTATTATTATTAATTTTTTTTGTTTAATATATATTTTTGTTTTGATTTTAATACCTTATTAAATTAATTTAATTACTAACGCAAATATTTTTTTCTTATGTAGATTTATATTATATAAATATTTTTTAATTTTTCAAAATTAATTTAATGGTAGAAAAATTAACTTTTAACGCTCCAGAAAACCAATGATGTATCTTTGGATAAAATTTTTAAAGTTTGTTAATATTTAAAATAATATCAAGTTTAATCACTTTTATGTTGGAAACTTCGCGATCAGATTTTGATTCAGAACTGAAATGAAACAAAACTCCCAATCAAGAGAATGGAAAATTTCAGAGGTAACTAAAGTAGAGTATTAATTCAATATAAAAGTGTGCATTTATTCAACTCCGTGGAAGAAAGCAGAAAAAAAAATGAATTTTTAACTCCTCTTATTCTAAGTTGCAAAATAGATCTAATTTTAATGAATTTTACAATTAAATTTAATAAGTAAAATGTATTGAATAGTAGTGGAGAAAAAATGTAGTGCTGATTGGTGATAAACCCAAGATTAATATTGGCATATCCATATTGCTTTCATCGTCTCTCGCGTTATTTGGTAATGGGAATGTCGGCGACGACGCGGTTCGGAATTTGTCTTGGACGTGACAAGGACGCAAATTCATAGAAACGACCGGCTTTTGAGCGTTTATTGCCACGCTTTGGCTATCTGCGCAATCGACCAACACCTCACACACCACTCGAGTTCAAAAGGTCATTGAAAAGGATGAAATATTGTAAGTCGACTGCCATGGGAGCAAATTTGCAAAAATTAGTTTATTTGCTTGCACGACCTTGAGGATGGGCATTAATTTATTAATTATGACCAATTTATCGGTTGATATTGAGGCAAATGGAAATTCCAGGAAATCTCAGTGACGTCTTTAAAAATGTAATAAGGAAATAATATAATTATTTTTAAATGCAAATTTCCGGAAAAATAACTAGGAAAAGCTTAAGTTTAAAATTTATTTCTTCTTAATGTGGCTAGAAAATATTACTCCACAATTTTAAGTGCTTTCAGTGTAAATTTCATGGAGCTTTGAGGAAATTACATAATTTAATGTCATGATTGATGACTAATTCTGAAGAGGCGGATGATAAAACAGTCGTAAAAAGTCTCGCTCGTGCGTCCCTAGGCTTTTCCTCTACGTGTTTGCATAACACTTTCATTGTTCGGCGGCTAGTTTGTGGGTCAAAACCAACGGCTGTGGTTTTTATATTTTTCTTTTTTGCATCTTCAGAGCTTCTTCAAGGCGCGCCCGCAACATTATCCGTGCATTAGAGTGACTTTGGCCGAAGGCTCGATGATTTTGTTGAAAGAGCACCGACGTGATGACCATTTGTGGCTACCAGCGGCTGTCATTAGTGCGCGGCCATAAAAAGCGAGCACGTCTTACTCATGGCTGCAGGGCCAGTTCGGTTTTGGTTTCCTGCGCTCACCGTCGCCAGGTGCACTCGAGATGCATCCATCAGAGAGCGCACGCGAGCTCTATTAACTTAATAAGACTCAAATGACCACACGAAATTCTCATTCAGCCAGAGTTGAATAATTAAGTTTAATGTAAGAATATTTATTTAATGATTAAGAGTAAAGTATTTTTTAACCCCAATCATGAAAATTAATGAGTTATTATAATTTTTAAAGTTCAGAGCAGATCGATCATAAAATAAAATCAACTATTTCCGTCAAAATAAATATCAACATATTGAGACATGACAACGACAACACCATGCTATTTGTTCAAAAAGTGTCCATAGAGAGCTATATTATTTATAATTATGTGAAAAGTTTCTATTTAAAACAAGTAGTATAGTTTTATTTCAAGCTTCAAGCCACATAAAAAATAAATGTTTAAAAGTTAATTTGAATCTTAAGATTTTTTAGAACAATTATTATAAACGCAGGTCATGAAGTATTGCCAAATATTGTATTTTAATAGGCACATTAGGCACAAACCGTTCGAATAACACAAAGATTTTTAACTTTACAATGTTGTGTTGCACTTGGTGACCAGTTTATTTATACAATAAATTTTCATATTCCAAAAGTTATAACAATATCGAAACAATTTAAATAAAAATTTTTAAAATTACTAAACACAAACTTTTCAAATACAAGCTATGTAATTACAATTAAAATTTAACATAAAAATGGTTGAAATTTATTATAATAACTTTAAATATAAAATATCAAAAAGATATTTATTTTAAATTATTTGTTTATTTTATGTACTAATTATTGCAGAGGCAATCACTGCCTGACTCGATCAAGTGAAGAAAAAACACTGGAAAAAGAAAGCATCTGAATTATTTCTATTAAATCAGAAGAAAAAATAAAAATTAATGCACGCATACAAATTATGCAAACACCGCTACCTAACTGACCTTCCCTGCGACATGAAGGATACGCATATTTTCTTCCGATTTGAGTCGATTATCCGCCACAACTATTATTAACTGTATACCCTTCGTGTCGAGCTTATCTCCCGCATTCTCCTAAGTGCCGAAATCCATCGTGGAAGCATTGGATGCTTATCAAGTGCAGTTATATAAATGGAATATCAGATGACCGTTCGCTCTCCTGTGAATAATAATAGCGCTGGGCGGGATAATGGCACGTTTAAGACACCATCTCCGTGTCTAACAATGTGCGAGTCGGGAAACTGGAACATTCGGGCACTGGTCCTCGCCGGCTTGCAGGAGTTGGGAGAAGCGTCTGCTATTTCCTACACGGTCTGATTCGTCGCGATGAATAGCCCGCGATTCAGCGTGACCGGTGTACATAGCTATCTGTTTTCACAGCATTGATTCGTGTGGTAGATTTTTATATTATTGGCCGCGAGCTGCGTTATACACGAAACAGCAGGTGCGCGTAATTTTTATTGGTGGGTCAAAAATGATTGCAAAAATAAGTATAGTGTAACGCAATAATCCATTTTTAGGTACGTTTCTTCCTACCGGATTGCATCATCAACAATAACAAATGAAACTAACATGCTATTTACTTTTAAATCGAATGTTTAATGCTGGTCTCATGGATTTTAAACTGAAATAATATCAATTCCATTCAAAGGGAATTTTAAAATTTTATCAACCATAATCAATAAAAATATAATTTATTAATAATAACGTTATTATTATTTATTTTTATTTTTACAGAGTGATTTAAATTTTTTAGAATGATTTTTTTTATGGGCAAAATTTGAGTGGTAAACGGTTGGAGTTTTGATACTCTTGTCTGTTTTGACATTTTTTGGCTAGCAAGTAAATTTTCAATGACATATAATGTACCCACTCGCCACTTCTGAAAGAAATTTTTCACTTTTTGATAGCCATGCAAAGAAAGCAAGAATTGTTGTAAATATAACAAAATGCAAGTGAATAATTTATTTTAACAATTAAATATCAAACGGATATTCTTGACAGAAGAATTTTTTTAATTCATCAATTTCAATACAAATTTAATTGACAGCTCTTCATTGGAACTCTTACGAATGGCTGATTTTGAGGAAGGAGTAAGACAAATAATTGAAAGTCAAAGATGCCGTTAATTATAGATTTTAATCAAATATATCATGTGACGTATAAGGCCCCGAAATCCGGTTTCGGACGCTTACGTCACTGATGCTGCAGGTGAACTCGGCTGGAATCAAAAGCTCAAAAGATCAATTCACTCCAATTTGTATTTGTTTGTGTCGCGCCTTTCGCTGAATCACGGCGCATAGCGGTGGTGTCACCTGTCAAGTTACAATAGCGCACGAGAGAGTAAAAAATAACTTAAAAAAGTAATCGGCGTGTATTCGACAACTTTGTTAAATGTCAGATTTTGTAATAATTTGGAGTTCGTCCAAATATTTCGCAAGAACTATTGGAGCAAAAAATGGAATATTTTATAATAATGACTCTTCTTGGAAGCAATTTAAACTGGCCTAGGTACATTATACTAACTGTAAAGCTAGTTTTTATAAGAGACGCCATTTCACTATTACCTAATAGCAATTTGCTGAAAAGTAATAAAACGCGGAGAGGAAATTCCATCAGCAGGTGCTTCACCGTCGACCTACGCATTCAATCCTTTTGCAAACAGCGTCTCTAATTTCATCAGAACAAAAGGAAGCCGTTTTTCCCAATTAATAAACAGTTTCCTACTAAAGCGTGAAGGACGATGGAAAAGGGTTAAGTGGACCTGTGGGATGAGATTATAGAGTAAATAGGGCAAAGACAAACAGAAATCGCTTTTTGACACTTCAGCCGCGCATCTTGTCATCGGTTTTCATTTCACTGCTGGTGAGATAAGTGACAGACTTTCTAAACGCCGAAAATCGGTGCCAGCAGACGTGCGTACCCTCATCACTAATTTACTGCTCAATTTGAGAGGCGATGACAATGAGAGTATAAATAAACAATGACTTTTGAACTTGCCACTGGTTTGGGTTAGGAGGGAACGCGATCAGGCGTGTGCGATATGCTAATTAGGAACCACTGGAGTAATATTGCCATAATTTATTCAAAACTAAACAAAAATGAACAGGATGAAATTTATTTACAAAAATCATAACAATGTGAATTTTACTAACTTTTATTTCAATAAAAAAAAATTAATTTTTTATGAGGTGTAGGAATATGTAATTTTTTACAGAATGAACTTGTAAAGAGCAATCAGGCAAATTTACAATTCTAATAACAAATAATAAAACACTTTTTATATTTTCACTAATTAGTTTTTGTTTAAAAAAAATATAAAAGTGCGATAACATTATTTATAAAAGATGAAAATTGAACTGTTTGAGGAATGCACAATCGATTGAAATTCAAGAATTTAAATCCGGAAACGCAGACAGGGGAAAATTCTCCGTTCATTCATCTCTCTTTCTCTTTCGCCAATTCGAGCTATCGGGATCTAATCTGCACTCGAATCACGCGTTGGTCGTCGACGGACGACTCATTTCGTTTGGCACCCACCGGTGCAGGTTAGTGGGTTAGCCGGCGAATAAATAATGCAGCATGTGTGCATAAAGAATTGACCATTCAGCAGAAGCAATTTCCAACGCGAGGCCTCGATTTATATTTTCTAAAGAATAAACCACTAAGCTCCCATAGGAAGTATAATATTCTGTATATAGAGAGCATTAAATCGTGATTTTTATACGCCGCACTTTTTGCCCCTTCGACATGTCAGCGGTGAAAAACTTGAGAACCGTTAAAGCCGGTCAGCGTCCAACAAGATAGTGGACAGCAGATGCTTTTAAAAAAGCAAGGCCGAAAGATCACCTGCGAGCGAATTAAAAAACGTCCTCCAATTTGCGGATGAGAGATAGCCAGGCCATGATGGGTGATGAAATTTGCGTATAAACGAGATATTTGTTTATAGCCTGAGAAAATGAATGGCCTGAGATAAAGTTGATATAAACATCTGAATAATTTATGTTCAATAATTTTTATTAGGGAAAATACTCTATCCCACTAGAAAGTATTCAAATATTGCAAAATAGTGGATCTGATATCAAGATCTATGTTATAAGCTTTGCCAAAAGAATATATAAAAATTTAATACAGCTTACAATAATTAGTTTTTAATATAACCAAAATAAAATTAAGGCTAGGAAAAATTACTAAAATAAGGATTGATTTCAATAACAAACCAATTTTAATTTTTTTACATGAAAAAAGTACTGAATGAATTAAATGATTTTTTAATTTACCGCGATTGTAAAATTTTATAAAAAATATTGTAAAATTTTAAAATAAAAACAAAAATAGATCAATCAGCTAAATAGACTTTCAACGGGATTCAAGTTAAATTTTGGCTTTGAGTACCCATAAAACTACAAAAATTCAACTAATAAAATAACAATATCGATTGTTTAAATACTAAACAGTCCTCCATTTGTTTGCTTGAACTAGATTAAGCAAACGGAGAAAAAATTTGAAGGATTTGGAAAGAAGAACCGTACAATATTTTTGGCAACGAAAATTGAGCACAATCGGCGTTCCGTTGCTCAAAACAATATAAAAAAATTGTCAATTCCAGGAGCTCGACTTTCATTGTAGTCATCAACAAAACGGATAAAGGAAGGAAACGCGAGCTGTGCAATTATTTGGGCGTGTGGGTAACGTGATCAGAGGCGCGGTTTTCCAGGTCAGTAATGCGCGCATTTTACCGAAATGAGAAACGGCTAATTTTTTTTAACCCGCGCGCCTGTAAGAGAAAAGAAAGTAATTTTCTGCCAGGCGGATAAAATCAAGAGCAAATATTACGTAAGACGCGGAGATGACTTTGCTGCGAGGAAAAAGAGACTTACTGTGTTACATTACTGTAAACGCAGCCTCCGACTTCTTACCTGAGACTGCACGTTCGCGCAAACGATGCATGCGGTGACGTAGCTGACCCTGACCGTCAAGTGAACTTCATATTCAGTGCTTTGCATGCGACTCTAGCTCTTTATGAATTTTAATAACCTTTTCATATCCACATGCACGACATCTCAAATTTTTCAAAAATTTTATTCAACATTCTCACAAAGGTGATTTTTTTTTTAAATCATACATGAATTTTGTGAGAACGTTCTTTTTTAAGTAATATATATATATATATAGCTTTATATTTCAATACAGTTAATTGATGCTCTCACAGCAAGTCAAAAAGATTATCTTAGAAATTTAATTACTGGAATAGCAGCCAGGTCACTAAAAATAATTGGTCAAATTCGAGGATAATATTGAAATTAACTCTTACAATTAAAAGCTTTAAAAAGTGAACTAGATATTTCATAATTCCTCAATATATTTCTGAGTATTGAAAATTAATATTAATTAACTGGTTAAAGACATGTCTATGCAAATTGCGCACTTTTCCAATTACCATGATTTTTCATTGTTTCTGTATTATAGAAATCATCAGAAATGCAACCTTTCTAAGTTTCTATAAGAGATATTCTCAAATTTTAATTCATTTATGGAGTGATTTGAAATCAAAATCTTCCAATTTTATCATAACCTACTGTAAGCTGTGAGTCAATTTTCCTTATACTCTTGTGGGAATGTAAAAGTGGAATTTTCTATATTAATTTTATTTACGTTAAATCAATTAACATCATTATCATTTAATTGATACAGACACAAAAATTGACAACCGACATCGACAACTGAAAGTGATATTGCATATTAATTATCTTCAACATATAAATAATAGGGTGGCTAAGGGTAGTATAAATATCTTTTGATTCTCTTACAATTAGTATACTAGAATCATAATCACAATAATTGTATATTTCAGTAGATAAAATCTCATGTATTATAAAAAAAAAATATAATTTTATGAAAATGATTAAAAATATTTTTAAGGAAAGCTAATTATTATAATTATAAATAAGAAAATAAAATGTTGTCTTAATGCAATTTTAAAATAATTATTATCATTATTGCTCAAAATTTTTAAAAGACGCAATTTTGTTACTTTGATATGCAGCCTAGCATTATAAATAATTTTATTCTGAATTCCATTCTCATAGCAAAACCACTGCACATTTTTATCACTCGAATTTATCTTCTGATCTAAGACAATGGAAAACAGGAGCACTTGTATAAAATTTGCATGCGCCCAAATAGGAAAAGCAGATAGAAACGGATGGGTGGGAAAGCGCAGTATATAAACATTTGGCAGGTCGGTAGCATATGCAAGTACTAGCACTACTCAGGTGAGGCGTGTACCTGAGCAAATCCACCTTGCGAGGATATAGCGACGCGTGCCCCACATTTGGTATCACCGCGGCGGTCAACAGCACCGGCTCTGCTCACTCGGCGTTCAGTTCCCACTCAGGCAGCCCCGCAGCAACATGCTCCGCGCCCTCGCAGTGCTCCTCGCCGCGGCCACGTGCGTCCTGGCCCAGGCGACGCCCTGCGCCGACCTTTTGACCTGCGCCACCGTCGGCATCGACCAGGGTCTGCGCCAAATGCAGAGCAGCTCCCTCTACCCTTTGCTCGGCAAAAGGTTGTATCTGGAAAAGAGGGAGGACGTGCAGAACGAGCCTGACCTGACTCAGGGCAACGTTTTCCAGAGGGTCGGAAAACTGCTGGACACGCACAATGTCAAGGCGCCCATAACCGACAATTTGTCCGTCAAGCTCTTCAAGACGCCGCAGGGACCGTTTGACATTTCGCTTGACGTCGCCTCGCCGGAGACTAACGCTCAGGGTAATGATTTTTCACATTTTTTTTAGTTTTTCTTGTGAAACGCTGTTTTGCAAGATGCACGCCCGTTCCATTATTATTATATAAACTCGGGTTTTTGTAATCTTGCAGAAACAAAATTACATGATATTATGCTTTCGCCCTGCACTGTTACTTTTTAATTAATGCTGCTTTTTATATCTCACGGGTAAATTTATGATTTATGATATCTCCGAGCCATGACCATTTATTCAATTTTCTGCCGAGTTCATAACAACATTTTACAAAATTATTTTTTCATTAATTTTTTATTTCGGTTCCTCCAAATAACAGAAAATTAAATAATAATAATATTGATAAAAAGATTCTTATTGTAAGGATTACAGTGTTCCTCCCGGCAAGGATTGCATTCATATAAAATTTTTCAGGAAGCACTTAACATTTTGATAATTAATTATGATTTGAAGAACTTTTGTCCTGTCACAACTAAATTACTTAAATTTTTATATTCAAAATTAGAAATCAATACAGAGGCTAAATTAATTCATGTTTATATCTATACCTTATGGCATGCAATTACCATATTACCATTATAAAAATATTTTTTTTTTTATAAAATTTGATTTGCTAATGAAATTAATTGTCATAAGTCATAATGCAAAAAGTGGGATAATGAATAAAAATCGTTCAGCTAGATACATTTTTAAAGAACAAGTAATTTATAATATTATTTAAAATTTTATTATTGGTAAATTGAAAGAATAGTTCAATAAAGTCAGTGCTTTCAAAATAGATTTAATTTTTAACTTAATATTTTTTTTTAATTAACATAAATATAATAAAAACATAAAAAGTTGGTGATCTGAAAATTTGCAATTATTTTACAAAACTAATATTTGAAAGATGATTGCACATAAAGAAATTTATATTTCATTTATGCAAACTTTAAATACTTAAATATCAAACAACTGTGATGCGAAGAACTGGACGACTTTCTGAATGGAAGAGTGAGCGGGATAATAAGCAATAACAACACACTCTCTGCACGTTCTCTTCACACTTTGATTCCGCTCACTCTGGTCGCACATTGACACAGTTTCCGCGCGTCAACAAGTGCAAATCATCGCTATTGATTAATGTCCGGATACGTATTTAAGTGCATTAAACAATTTTAAAAAAAAGATAATATGAACAGTTGTTCAAATAATTGGCAGGTCACGTACACATCATATTTGCAAGCTTTGTAAAAAGTAACGACGTGCTAAATTCCTTTTGTCATTAGCTCCATAATTTCGCGGCCCAACCTTCGGTGATTTGCATCAAATGAGTTTTGTCTTCCGCAGAGCCAAAGTGCTTCATTAGCTTCGGGCCGGCGAGAGGCCAATAAACTTTGCCCAAAGGTTGGCTCCCCTTTATTATTCGCGTTTTTCGTACATAAATTATGCATGAGTGACGCGGCTAATCATCGCGTGGCTACTTCTTTCCTGATGATTTGCGATCGAGACGTTTCTGGACAGTTAAACTCACTTTTTACGGTTGAAGCGTTTAGAAGACTTTTGCCGTTTGATATTTTTTAGCATGATATAATTACACAGGAGAGTTGAAAACAGTTATCAGGGGTTTTTGGAAGCTGGTTTTCACTTCATTAAATAGACTCGTTTACTATGGAAAACCGGTTGCTTTGCTACAGATCTCTTTTCAAAAGATAAATTTGGAGAGAATGTGACGATCTCATAAATTTTTCGGCAGATCAACCGTTAGACTCAGCCGTTTGGAAATTAACTTTTGCTTCTTGGAATGCATGAGGGCTGGATTTTTGTTTAATGTTAATGCTGTCAGTGGCACTCAACTTTTCCGGCTAATTGGTTCTCATGCAAGTAGAATTGTTTTAGAAAATAGATTAAATTCAATAAAATATAAAATATTTCCATGAATGCCTCATAGTAATAATGTGCTATGCAGTCACTTTTTTTAAAAGAAGTTTTTATTTAATAAGTGGCATTTTGTTAAATTTAGAGTAAACATTGAGTTTGAGAAAGCCGTTGAACCAGCATTTTAAAACAAAAATATTCTTACAAATTTAATAAAAGTAAGTTGAAATTAGGAAAAGGCAAATTAATAATACATTAATAAGGCGAGTTAACCAGTATAATTTATATGGAATAAACTTATTGAAAGTTTTTATGAAATTAAATTAGCAAAGAAACTACATAATAAGAGCGGTAAAAAATTAATTACTGAAAACTAAATACATTATAAAGAAAAAACAAGTTATTAGACTGATATTGTATACTTGAAAATTAATATGAATGTGAAATATGGCAGAAATTTTACGAGTTGACCAGATTCAAAGTTTTGAAAATATGGCTGATTATGTGATTTCCTACTTCTGCATAATACAAAACTGAGAAATAATAAGATAAAATTAAACGTAATGAAAACTAAGGTTCAAAGTGACTAATTTTGATTGATTTGCAGGTCGTACCTTCTTCAAGCGCCGCCTTCAAATGGCCCTGCTGCCCATCATGTACAAGCTGGGCGTGATGACCACCCTGATGGGCGTGCTGGTGGTGATGGTGGCCAAGAGCCTGGCCATCGGCGTCATTCTGCTCATCCTGGCCGTCTCGAGCGCCGTCAAGCACAAGCTGTACTGGGGCGGCGGCGGCCACGTGGACGCCCACTCTGGCGGCTACTCGGCCCCCACCGGCTGGGCCCAGGCCCCGCAGCCGGGTGTCCACCTGCACCTGCACGGCATCAACAAGGACGCGCTGACCCACGCCGCCCCTGAATACCACACCACCGGCTACAGCCGAGTCGGATACGCCGGCGCCACCGGCCCCGAGTACGCAGGACCCTACAACAGGGCTGCACATCTCGCTCCCTCTGCTCAAACCGTCCAATAAAGGAGGACCAAATACTTAAATGTTAATCATATAAATATGAAAAACCAGTCAGATTTAATTTATTGCTACAGGAGAAGTTGAGAACCTCAAAATATGTATCAAATTGATTTAGTACCTAGATAATATTGTTTTAATGATTGATTTTGAAGATTCTCTGCTCCATCCAAAGTGAAATAGTCAATTAACGTGCTATAATGGTGTGTTTTTTTAGAACAGAGAGCGACATCATGCTGATGTTAGTTATAAGCAGTTATAAGTCTGGGCTAAATTATGTTGTTAATTTATATTAATTTATTATTATGTATTTATTTATGAGTATAAGACACTCGCTGGATCAGTATTTATTTATTTATTGTTGTCTGACTTTGAAGAGGTGCATTTGCGAAAATGTGTCTTTGTAATAAAAATTAGTACAGCGGTTCAAATTTAAAAATCAAAGTGCCTTAATACTTAAGTACTTTTTAGACTCTGTATAGTATAAAATTTCAAAGCCATTGCAACTGAAGTGTTGCGACGAAATTCAGTAATAATTATTCAGTTACCTGATCTTCAATTTTATGTAGCGCACACTTCCTCTATAGATCAACCAATTTAAATGCATTTTTATACAGATGTGCAAGTCTCAATAGAATACATATTTCCTTTAGAATTTACATAGCTCTCAAGTACTTACTGTCAACCCAAAGATTATGTATTATATTTTGTCCTTCTCTCAACACTGTACACTACAGATTGATTGTTCAATAAAGCGTTAGTTGAAAAAAAAATGAAAGAAAATGCAATAATTTGTGTTTTAATGAGTTTAAATCAGCTATAATAATTAATAAATAAATGTTTTTATATTTAAAATAATATTTATAAGCATTATAATTAAAATTATTGACATTTTTAATTTAATTATATTATTATTTTATTATATTTTATTTTATATCTTTACAAAAAGTTTGTTATGATTGAATCTAGCAGCATTAAAAACTTGTATACAACAAATTATTAATTAAATAGATATATATATTTTCATATGACCACACATTTCATAATTATCTCAATTTTAAGCATACTTGCTTGTCATACGTGCGGACTGCGGAGCATAATAATTAATTTATTTTTTGGTAATTCAAAACTCATAACCAATAATTTATTGAATACATTTCAGATTTTAGTTTTCTAACTGAGATTTATTATTATACCTTATTCCCATTTCAAATGAAATTTAAATTATATAAATATATTTTACATTATATTACGATTTGTAGTGCGCCGTGCGTCATGGTACCAATAAAACAGTTTGTGGTTTTTCCGGTATGCAACCAGATAATCGCTGACGTCCTGCAAGTTGCATACCAAGCTACAGCGATCAGTTGTTAGATACAAACCAATTATTGCTGATTTGAATTGTAATGTGTATTTGATTTTAATTGTTGCTTCAGATTTGCGACGAGAATATCAAATATGTGAGTTAATTTTGATAATTCCCTCTTTTGTTCAGAGCAGAGTTTATTAGTTAGATAAAGACTAGCATTGTGAAGTTAAATTTAATATGGATTATTTTTTGGTATCTCTTTTTATGATCCTTTTTTTTGTAATGACGAGTTGAATAAACAATATTAATAATGTTATTGTAAAGGAGCGGATATTTTTTTAAATTCTGCAGTTTTGGGCCACCTATTGGAGACCAGTGTAACAAAAGCGGGCCTCTCAGGTGGCCAAAGGTTGGTGCCAGTCTGAAGCGCCCTCACCTGGAGAACATTATAACGCTCTGCGGCAGGTAAGCGGTTTTTCCGACAGATCCCGCTTGATGTTTGATAGTTTGTTTTTCTTGGACCTGCTATATCACTTGGCTGTATGGGATTTTATGATGTAAAAAAATATAGCATTCAATTGTGAACAAAATTAAATAATTTTTTAAAACAAAAAAGGCTGTCCTTATCATAAATTTCTCCACACCAGCTAAATGTAAAGAAAACTCTCTACATCGGCTCAATGTTGAGATTTATCATCCGTTTCTAACTTAATATAAAATTTATTGATAAAATAAAATAACTGATTTGTTATGTGAACGCATTATTTAATGTTTTTTTTTTTTAAGATTTACTTTAAATTTTTGGATTATCACAAATTTTTATCATAATCTGCTTTCTGTATTGAATAATACTGAAACAATATTATAATTAGCATAATTAAGTACAAAATGAGCACAAAACTTATTAAATCAAATTTAATTTATAAAAAAAAATCTATAACAAACGCATTTAAATCATATACAAGTTAAAAATTATATAAGAAAACGATCAAATCTCAAATTTTATTTTTCATACTTGACATTTTCAGCAATTAAAAAGCTCTCATGTTTCGTAATAGAGTAATGACGCTTCTCACAATCAGTATGACATGAGTAATGGTTGAAGTTTAAGAGATGTTCATTCATTTATCACACGCGTGAAAAGTGTGCACGTCGCTTTTAGCATTTTGCAACTTAACTCCCACTTGTTGTGGTTGGCAGCGAACATCGCCTCTTTTGCATAAAATTTTTTCGGCGCCACTTCCTCGACGCGTTTACCATGTCCTGTAATTATATTAACTGTAAGTGTGTAGTGATTAATTATCAAAAAAGGAGCCGACCCATCTAACTGTGATGGAGAAGAATATATATCCGAATGCTTCCACACGCGCGCCCATCGCATCACACACTCTTAATGCCCGGCCAAAATATATATAAAAAAGGAGAGAGACGCATCTCTTTAATGCTATTCACGTAACGGTAAACACAAACGTCTCCGAATGAGAGGAATAAATAAAAATTTTACGGAGATCATAATTTAATTGAACTTCTTCTTTTTGTTCCGCCAGGCCTAATGATTTCCATCGTGAGACGAGAAGAAAAATTAATAAAGAAGAATCAACTCTCTGCTAGACGTGATATTTCGTTACGCTGGAAATGAAAAATCGTGAAGGTCGTGGCGCCAAACTTGACCCAGAAAACGCGCCGAGGAATTAAAATTTAAATCCGTGGTATTTGCTCGGCGCAATCGTGTTTTGCATGATCACGACGCCTCACTTTTAATTGAGAGCGATTTTTTTTTAATTTTTTCGTCAGTGAACGGTGATTCCCGGCAAGTATCACGACCGCAGAAATGCGTAACCGTAGAAGAAGTGGTCACCTCTGCAATTTGAGGAGTGGTCCTGTATATATATTTAATTTAATCACATTACATTTTCCTCTTGAGCCACAGCAAATATTGCACGCTACCGGAATGTCCCTTTTTCCAGTAAAGCCCAGCGCCGTTATGATGATGGGGCGACTGGAATTTTTATTGCAGGCAACAATCGGAGAGACGCGCAACACACCCAAAGGGTATTATCATCATTTGTATTTACTCGAACAACACAATCCCACCAATTAGACGAGGATAAATCATCCAACGCGCATTCCTGCGTGGATGAGATTTATTTTTATTTATTTTCAATTCCGTTCATAAATCACGCACTTGCGAAATACTCCTCTCTCGAATGCGGCCGAGCATGATCTTGGTGTCAACGGGGTACGAATGTGTTCCACTGGGTTAACCAGAGAAGCATCATGCATCATGCATGCCGCCTCTAATCTTTCTTCCTCTCTCTCTCTCCCCCTCATATTCCGCACCGGCAAACTGTACTTTTGCGAAACCACTTTTATGCATTGAGCACGCCGGAGAGGAAAGGAGAGAAAGACGGAAAGAAAGCCGTGGGATTATTACTTTGCTAGTTGAAGTGGTTTATCTCGGAATAGTAATTGCACCCACGGGAAGCGAAACATTTAGTGCTGCGTGGGTAACCCTTTTATATTCTTCAGGACCTATTGTTTCATCTTTTTATTTTCGGAATAAAACACCAAAGAGATATAAATTTTTAAAATTTCTTTTATTTACGTTTTTTTTTCAACAGAAATAATTTAAGCAATAAATTAACATTGTTCAACAATAAATAGGTTGTACAATAAATTAACTGTGCGTTTGTGTGCGTGTGTATGTGTTTGTTGTGTGCGCGTCTTGTGTATAAAAGTCGCCGTTATGTAGTGCGTTTGTTTTTATTTTATTTCATTGTGTGCGTTTGATTGAGCGTCAACTTACAAGGTAAAGAGTCGAGGTGTCTTAAGTCGGGGAGCATATAAAATTAATAAAATAATTGCATTTTGATTCGTTACAACTATTTTGGCACGTGGAGGGGAATTTGATTGAGCAAAACAGAGTTTATTGCAAGTGAGCAGCAGAGAGGAAAAGGGCAAGTGCAAGAGAAAATGCAAAGAAAGCAGACCTGATGCGAAAGTAAGGGGTAATTACTCAGCTCAGCCGCTGTTTGTTTTTGAGGAGAAAAAGTCGTAGTACATCAAAGGAAGCGTGAGGGAAAATAAATCAACCAACAGTCCCCAGTTAAAACTGATATGTCTGTTCGTCTGTCTGCGAGTGAGCGCCAAGGGTACTACCTACAACTCTCAGATTCCACCGACTGGTAACTGACAAGGCGCGGCCCTCGGGGCCAAAGTCATGATAACACCCTAGGGCGCTAGAAGAGGAAGTAAAGTCACAAGTCCTTAAAGTTAACAGTTGGAGTCTTTGTCTGCATTAATAAATTAGGGGCCAGAACGCGGCAGGTGCGTCGCTTTCTTTACTGGGTCTTGGCGGGTTCCTCGTCACCCTCGAAGAACTTGGCGGCGGCCTCGATCATCGAGTTGACCTTGACCTCGGCCTCGTCCAAGAAGCTGCGGGAGTATCCTCCGTGGTGCGAGCTGCTGGGGCTGCTGCTGCTGTAAGAATCGTGGCCGTGGCTGCTGTCGTAAGAGCCGTAGCTGTCGGAAGAAGCACCGCCGATTCCGCTGAATCCGCTGAAGAGGTTAGCGCCCTTTCCGCCTGAAACGATTGAAAGTGAAGTTTAATAAAAATTTACAGGAAATATCGATAACTTTTTTTTGAACAAGGAGAATAAGTAAATTCAATAATGAAAAAATTATGCAAATTTTTAAGCAGGTGCAAAAGTTTTTCATTTTTGGAAATGGTGAGACCTGAAAAGTTGGTTGAATACGAAATTCTTCGACTTCCATTAAATAAATAATAAAAGAAAAAAATTGGATGTACTTAAAGATAAATAAATAATTGAAAAATATTTATAGGATGAACAAAAGAATTAAAAATTCAAATAGCTTACTGAAGAGGGTGCGGCCAGCGTTGATGAGAGCGAAGACCAGAGCGATCTTGGCGATGATCAGGGCCTTCAGGGTCAATCCCTTCAAGAAGAGGATGGCGATGGGGAGGAGGAGCAGCTTGATCAGGGGGAAGATAGCGAGGAAGGGCAGCAGCTTCTTCAGCTTGAGCTTGCCTCGGGCTGCAAAGTTAATTCATTATGTTATAGAGGGGCCGTTACGCCCTGGCAGGATGAAGAACTTGTTGCTCATTTTGGGGTCTCACACATGACAACCAAGCATGCAACCGCACATCGTCTCACTCTGGCACACTTATCATATCCAAAAAATATTGTCGCAGCGACCAAAATTATTCACTAGAGGTTTTCAATGAGAGAAACTAGAAAAAAATGACCAGTAGAATCGGTCATCCGTGAAAAATGTGTCATTTACAAAAGCAGAAAAGAGGAGAAAAAAAATCTAAAATTGTTGAAAACTACAGGAAAACTAATTACGTAATTTATATACAAAATCATTCATTACTAAAAAATGAACTATAGTCGTGATCAATTAAAAACCTGTACAAGTTTGTGTTAAAATAAAATTTATATCTTGAGTGTAAAAATTGCACGTTTTCTATGTACACTATCTACCGAACACGTGTAAAATACAATTAATCAATTAGGCTAATGACTTGATGTACTTGTACGGAACCAACCGCGGCGCAAACAGAGCGAGCAGCGTACAAGGTGTGTTCTTGGTAGGCGATGCGAATTCCGCGCGACCGTAGTTATGCGCGCCGAGTGTCTTCCGACGCGCCCTTGACCCTTTGGTACACTAACGAAAACCCAGAGTCATCGAACCCGCGTGCTCTCCATTCATCTGCTGGTATTGGGCAAGCGCCGAAAATCCGTGTTGACCACCGGAATAAATGAATCGGGTTTTGAGACAGAGAGGAGAGAGAAAAAAGTAACGGACATGGAAATTGAGCAATCCTTCTCTGGCTTCTGAAATAGTAATTAGGTGGGAACAGTTAGGCCCTCCGATCGTAATTAATTTCCTTTTTTGTGTGCAGCTATTAAGGGCGTTTTCCGAACGCCAAAAGCAGGTGACCGCGCCGATTAATAAATAATTTCGCCTCGCAAGAGCATCGATTTTTTTTAGATACAATTTTTACAAGTCACGCGTCACAAAATGTTTTCTAAAATTTTAAATTATTTTTAAAAACATTTTGCAACCTCCATCCACACTTTGAGGGAAATTTACACTCGACCGAATTGAAAATAATGTTTTGAAAATTCCTCAATTGAAATTTTAAGACAAAACGTTAAAATTTTCAGATGGAGAATTTCATTTGATTTTTCAATTCGATCTCGGGGGAAAAAGAATTTGAACAAGAAAAAAGGTCACTGCGATGCTTACCAGACTCACCTCCGGCCTCGGCCAGCTTGAGGGCGACACGGGGCAGAAGTCCAATTTTGTCTTCGTCTCCGGTGACGGCGGCTTCGATGATGTCGGCCAAGTCACGGCCGGTCTCCTTGGGGGCCTCCTCCTGGACGACGGGAACGGCCAAAGCGGCGGCCACTAGGGCCAAAAGCAGACACACTCTGAACACGGCCATTTCTTCTTTTTGTATAAGTCGGCGTTGGCGGCTTGAAACTGAGCGCTTCCTTTGACTGCGGAGGATTTTTTGAAGCAAATTGCGTGCTGCACTCAGGGTCTGCCCGTTTTATAGGCTGCCCCCCTCCTGACGCCGGTGGCTAAGGAGCGCGTACGTCTCTCGAAAATATTGTAATATGGGATGAGAGGAGGAGTCTCGGGGTCCAAGTGACACACATCTCATCCTGCCGCAGCGACTATGTGTTTTATCGGCGCATATCTATTTGTATGCATCCCGAGAGGCCGCGACTCCACCTCTCTTCCACTTTTCCCGCCGCACACTTTCTTTCTTTCCACTGCAATTGACGACACAATGTCACGGACACGCGCTTGCTTGCTTTATGGAACAATATCATTATAAACGCGATGTTGCATCAGATCCGTCCCGAATGAGAGTACGCAGGAAATTGATTTCTCGCCTCTCTTTCTCGGTGATCCGCATTGTTGCGATCCGAGATGGAAAGCTATCCGCCGAGTGCATCATCAAGTTCGCTTTTGTCGAGCCAATGTCACGACCGCAGACTCTCGCAGAATGTCAAGTCCATCGCACAAGAGCAACGCAGATATTTCACGCTCGCTTCGCGCCGTTCATGAATAAATGGTTTCTCCGTGAAACTTGTGCACATTTTGATTCCGTTTACGTGCTAACGTGTCCGTTTTTACACTCTGAAAAATATGCTAATTTTGGTGCTAATAATAATTGATTTGAGGAGAAATTAATTTTCTATTTTTAACTGGGTTTCAAGTGATTAAATGTTTTCACTCGTTTACAACCAGTAAAATTTGATGCAAACTAATAAAATGTAAACAATTTATTAATTTTTTTTTATTTACTTTTTATAAATAATTTTGCCACCTTTTATATCAAAATATATATATTTGGTCTTTAAAACTTAAATCAATATTTATTTTATTAATACAAAACTATAAACCATATTAACTTTTTTCTACTTTTAATAATATTCTTATGATAACTATAATTTTTTGCTTTTTACTACATTTAATAAATTTGTGGCTCGCAGATCTAGAGGTGATGTTGAAATTAAAGTTACATATCACTTGATTTAGAGAAGATTGGTGAGTCAATATGGAGTTACGTTGTTTTGAAATAGGAAATTAATAAATGCATACAAATAATTCTTAGATGGAATCAAAGTTGCGTAGCATAAAAATTGAATTGAGTAAAGACGTTTTACATTTTATTTATTTTTATTTTAAGGCATATTGGTTTTTATAAACCTTTCCAAAGACAAAGTGACTTTAAAGTGATAGATCTGGGAGTAATAATTGTGGACCGAATTTACAATTAACTCACTTTAACTAGAAATATTGATTTTAGCAATTACAATGCGTGTTATAGAATAAAAGAAATTTTAATAGATTTTTATAAATTAAAAAAATAATCAAGCTTAAAGATCAAAGAATCACAGGAAAGCAAAGTATGAGCTCTCATAAGGTAAAAAACTCAAGAATTCAAAAAGAAATAAATCTTTTGCATTAAAATAATTAATCTTTATAATCTGGTTTTCGTGTAATTTCTACATAGAAATTTTTATGTAAAAAAAAAAATTCAACTCTGCGGTATTTTTGAACTTCAGAGTCACTTAAGGCTGTTTACAATAAATCCCATACCAAAAACAAATTTACTGTTTTCCCGGAAATATCACAAGCGTTAACAGAACACAATGGCACAATCTCAATTTTAAATTAAATTTCACGTTCACCTTACAGCGTTGCATAATTGCAAAACAACCAAAAAGTTCCTTTGTCTTTTTTATTTATATTCGTCATCACTTGGCAGAACAGTTGACTTCGCCCGTGGCACTCCGTTGTGATGTGCAAAATTTTCAAACTTGTTTTATGGTTAGCAGCATCTAGATCGTCCCACGACTCTTTTCGCACATTTGAAACAAAAAAACAACGCACTTGCAGCAAGTCAGACTTGCCAATTAAAACAACGGTGCACTTAACTCGTGTAATTTCCTAAACAGCACCTTTATACAATTTTACTACGGATGATAAGTCCCATTACCGCTAATTTAATCAAACCGCCATAAAAGTTCATTAATTAAAAAAAAAATCGGCGCCTTTGTTTTCCAAAAGTCGATCAACGGAGATGATGGCAATCGATAACTAAATCAAGCGCAACACCTGCTGAGAGAAATTGAATCTAAAGAAAGAACGTCGGGAAATTGATAATTTCGCAGAATCATCTTTCTTCTTTGTGCTGCATCACGCTGCTCTGCTTCGGAACTGCTAATTGGCCAAATTATACGGCTGATTGTTGCGCTTAATTGCCGCACAAAAAGGTCTCCCATCAAATAATTTGACACAATGTCGTACACATCGGCCGTTAGAGTGACTAACCAGCCGGCGAGTAATGCACTGCAAAATATTTATAGGTGTGTGCCGAGATTTATGAAAAAATGGCACGTATATGAAAAAAATAAACGTACGTCCTCGCCTATGCGTGCATGGACCGTAAAATTAACAGTTGTCTTAAATGTGCGAAATTCCTTTATCACCGGACTGCCGCAGCAACACCCAGCTGGAGAGATTTGCCCAGCGACCTTTACCTCCTTTAAAATAAAAAAAGCAGCAAACAAGACGGGCCAAAACACGCGGTCGGCGCCTTTTGAAAACCTTTTTCTTTAATTGGACTCTTCCTTTGGGATTTGGAACAGAACAAGTGGTAATTTTAGTGTTAAAGAAAACAAATATTATAAAATTAATAATTCGGCTCTCGACTGATTTTTCATCTCGTCAAGAGGATTTTTTTCTGTGCATGACTTTCTGCCGTAAAACCGTTAGTGCTCGATGCAAATCCACTCAACTCGCTTATTCGTACACGGCTATAAATATATTATGGAAGTAAGGCGAAACGAGAGAGCAGGCGGTGTTTGCACGAGCGACAATTTATAACGTAATGTTGGTCACTCGCTCCGAACAAGAGAAAGAGAGACGCATGAAATTCGAACTCAATGAGATCACACACATGAATTGGCAACAGACTCGATCGAGTATAGTTTGGAATAATAAATTTATTATTTGTCTCCTGACGTGGAAACTTGAACGCCTGCATCAAAAAGAGTTTTATTTTTTTTTACTTGTATAGAGGAATTTGAGGTTGATTTTTAAAGGAGAAATTTTACCTTGTTCGAAAATGAGCTGAGGGAATGCGCCGGCTCTTAACATGCAAATTGCTGACGGCATCACAAAAGCTATTAGTGGCATCCTTTCTTTGTCGCATCACGCAATGTGTTTTTTTTTTCGGAGGAAACGTTAATTTGAAATAAACAGTTTCGTCTCGTCTGTGCTCCTTTGGCGCCCGATTATTCATTCAAATTTCCACATTTCTCGAAAAAAAAACCATTTGATCAGCTGCGTTTTTATTTATTATCTTTTTGGAGACCTCCTTATTATGTTTAGGGATATTATAAAATTTGAGGATAAAAAATATTTTATGAATGAACACACTTTAAATGGAGAAGCTTCTATAAAGGAACATTTTCATGACAATTAAAAGTTTTTACGATCACTATGGTTTGAATTATTAAATTAATAGTTATTTATTTTTACATATCGGACATCGGACTAAGCTTTAACTGTTGATAGAAAAAATTAAGTTTGCCTAACTAATAAAATTATTATTATATAGAGCGGAGAGAAAATTAATTTTTTAATTTTTCTTAATGTTATCTGGAATTCTTAACAGTTTAGCGCAGAGTAACAGAAAAAATATTGAGCAGAGTTGTTGAAAATAAAACTAACAATAAATATTATAAAAATTAGGAAAGTAAAGAAATCGTCTAAATATATTTTAAAGTTGGATAAATTTTGTTTTATTTATTATTCTTCTTATAAAATATAACAATGTACTCTCTAACTATGATCTTTTTCATTTTCTCATGCTTTTCGTGGAGCCAACAATATAAAAATTTTATTTTAACAATGATTATAGAAGCGATAACTAAGTTCATGTATGAGTTTTGAAGAATTTTCTTTAAACCAAGAACATGAACTATATTTATTTATTTAAAATTAATATTTTTTCTAATAAATATTTTTTTTGGTCTATATATTTAGCAAAATCACATGAAAAAAAACCTACAAATCGCACTGGGGTTTAAATGTTTTAGAGTCTAATCGGCCTCCCCCCAAATCCTATTATAATTTTGAATTTTTATTCATTTTTCTCAAACTGCTCCTGACGCTAAAGTGGATCTTGATTTTTCAATTATAAAATAAACCCAGTTTTAATATTCAATCAAGAGACTGTTTCTGACGTATTTTTTACTTTAATATAAATAATGTGATGTTTAATAGTGCAATGCATATTATTCGCAAATCTTTCCATTTGATATCAATCTGGCCAAGCTAATTTAGCATAGTGTTATTTTTCATATTCAATAAAGAAGAGACGTTGGCTGATTTGCCAAATCAGTGCAGCGCTATTAATTGAATTATGGTTATTGTTATTAATTTATGCCTACAGCGGCGCAGAAGTTTCTCTTTTCACAGTTTTATCGCATGCACGGCTGCGCCTCGATTTCGGCCGCTGAGAACAAAGCGGCGATATAATAATAATTGAAGCAAATATGGCACACACATCATTAGTGCGTGAGTGATCTCGGAATGGTGCGAAAAAAATGGTGCATATTTGCGGCGTTATATGTAGGATTTTTGGTCAAACGCAGCCGAGTGAAAAGTGAAGAAGTTCTTTTAATTTGAAAGTGAATTATATTATTACGGGGAATGAGAAGCGCGACGGCCGGTCATAAATTATGCATTAAATTTCTCATCCATATGTGATGAAGACGCAGTCTGAATGGTCCGAGCAGATTTATATTTATTTTCGTCTGCCGCTCCAAATTCGCTGCCGTGGTGTATTGTTCTGAAAAAAACTGGCTTATCACGCCCGCAGGATCGCGCAATTACATTAGGCTTATCTTTGGCAGATCTTTCTTTCTTTTCTCTGATTCTCCGCCCGCCGGCTATTTGATGTGTGGAGAACAAGTAGTCTGGAGAAAAGAGAAGCAGCTCAATTAGATGGACATGCACACACACCTATCGTTTCCTTTTCATCTCTCGCGGCGAGGAAGAGAAGATGCAAAATTCAATTCGATCTTCTTTCGACAATGACCCTCTTCCTCAATTGTAATTAGGAAGAATGAGATCGAATAATTGCTTTCAAGCAATATGCAGCGTAAAAAATTTGAATTAGTCTGTAGCCAAATTTGGCCACATTGGATTATAGGTAGACCTTCTTTATATAAATGAGATTTACCTTTGCAAAAAAATTAATAACCAAAAGCAAAAAATATTCACATTTTTAATTTAAAAAAGATTGGAAGGAATTCTACTTTTAATAATGGACTGTGTACAATTTATTGTCTCTGAAATTTTGTTAATAGTTTTAGAATATTTTTTCAAATATAATAATTTACTTCCTCCACTTATTGTCAAACTTTTTTTAACTGTTCTTAAAGAGATTATGAACCTTTCCTTCAAAGAAATAGGTATTTATAAATAGACACATTTTTTAAATCAGAAAATTACAGCGAATTTTATGAAAGAGAATCAAGATTTTTACAACTTCTATATTTTAGAAAATTTCAGATATTTTTCTTTACTACTTTATTTTTTGGTTTCCTCTTTCCAAATAAATTATTGAAAAAATCTGCAGGTTTCAGTCTAACTTCTGTAAATAGGAGGACATCCTTTTTTGTAGTCTCTTCCACCACTTGCAAATCTTTGACCCCGTAAATGTTGAAATTGTACAAAAAGTATTCCATGAGGTAAATTTGATCTGGCGACATGTGGTGGAAAGCGATCGGATGTTTGGTGCGGTGGTCGTGCTCCTAAATTTTCCCAAAAAAAGCTAAAAATATTGGTGGCTGTTACATATATTTTGATAGTTTACCTCATTGTGAGGCCACTTCACTCGAACCCAGTACCAGTCCCCAATGGCAGTCATGTTTCCGATCACGTAAGTTTCCACGTCAAAATGGAAAAAGCGGTAGTGCCCATTCGAGTCCCTGGTTTCTCCGGGATAAACTCCCACCATGTTCAAACATTGAGCTTTAAATAATAAAATTGTAAAATAAATATTCAAAAATGATATTTGAGTCCAGTAATGATTTTGATAGTTTGCTTGAATTAAAATTTAGACTAAATATCACTGGGTGGTAGAAATTTAAATAAAGATATATAAAGAGGCTAATTATTGAGGGTTCACTTGTTCCCGCCAAATTTAATTTTTAATGTTGAGGGAAAGGCCACTTTTAAAATGTCTAAATAGAGTAATCAGAATATTTTAATTTTTGTCATAAAATTTTAAATTTTATCCTTTCTTTATATTTCAAGGATAAAGAGTCTTTAAATTTACCTAATAGAACGTCTTCGTAGATCAAATTCGTTAGCATTGGGCATTCAGCACTTTTTGCTTCAAAAGCTTTGGTCACCAACCTCTTGAGAGCCTCTTGACTCAAAACATAAGCTGGGAAAAATTATTTAAAATAAATTAAGCGAAAATTGTTTTGTCAAAACCTGCTCCTGTTGCGTATCCTTGTGGGGCGATATCTTTCATATGCATCCCGAGATATTCCGGATCTTGCGGTTTGTAAGGCAGTAAGAGCTTCCGTAAATTCTCCATTATTACGTAGCTGTGCAGAAATACTAAAATAAAATCTAAATTTTTATCTTTGAATAAATTACGTGTCGTCGTCAGCCTTTAAAAACCAGTCGTAATCATTGCCGAACTCATTGTAAATGTACTTAAACGCCTGAATTGTTTTCACCCAAAGTCCATCTTTGCTTCCAAATGATCTTACTTTGACGGCCGGAAGTTCATTATCTACAAAATTTTGTAATAATCTTAAGTTTCCGGTCAGCTGGTGGGTAATTTCCACCTTCCACCTCGCTGATAAATACGAGTTTGTCGCAGCGACGACCCCAAGTCGCTTTCACGTGCATTGCTTTTGAATGTTGAGTTGTTGCTGAAGTGCAAATCCAGCATAAAATTCGCATTCGGTCAGCAATAGCTTTAGAACGCATCATCTGGAAATCTTCAAATTTAATACATGAATGAGTTGTAAATTAATTCAAAATTTATTTTTCACCATAGGTAAGTTGTTCGATAATGGTCGCATTGAAATTCAAAAGCATTTGCATGTCTTCAATTCGATTAACTTTTTCGTGTTTGTGTCTAGTGGAAAAATTATTATTTCAATAAATTTATAAATTATTAATAAAAATTCTTAAAACTTGGCATAAATATTTTGTGGAAGCATCCAGCACGTCAGGGTACACAGTAGTCCGCATGTAAAGCCGTTGATCAAGATCACAACACACGTCAAATCTGTCTCTAATTTAACTTTAAAATTCTTGGGAAGAAATAAGCTCAAATAGGGCAAAAAGAGTTTTTGGTATTAAATAGGAGTATATAATTTTTTATATTATTTTTTTAACAAAGACAATGTGCCCTTTTTCCACCACTACAATTTTTGATCAGAGTAAACATTAAACAAACTCTACTCACTCAAACTAAATGAACGTAGCAAGAAGTTCCTCTTTTTCATTTTATATTCAACTTCAAAATATACTGCGTTCGTTCAAACAATAGCGGCTTTGGTTGCTACCTGCATACTAAATGCAGTCCACGAAGTTTCGGGAAACAATTTGAATGACGAGAGGGACAATTAATGTGATAAAAAAAAAAACGACCAAATTTATACAGAGTAAATAAGCGCTCTTGGAAATTTATGAATACATTGCAGGCAAATGGTATTTTATTGAAATTTCAAATATAAATTTTTTCAAGTTGAATGTAAATATTAAGCAACTTCAATATCTTCTAATTGGAAATATTTAATACTATACAATAATTTATTATTTAATACTGGTGATTGTATAATAAAAAAGCATTAAAATAAACGTTAAATTTAAACCCAAATTATAAATTAGTGCTAATTTTCTATTTTTTCGTTACATAGCAATTAAATATAAGTTTAAAAAATGTATTAAAACTTTTAATTAAAATGTATTGAAATTTTTAGGATAATAAAAATTAATATTTTCATTTCAATAAATTTATATTATTAGTGTACTTTTTTATCTATTTAAAAATTGTTTTTTAATTTATTTGAAAAAATTTTATATTGATACATTAATAAATAATATTTAAATTTTGAGATTAATTATACGCGTTTTTTATTTCTAAATAAATATTACTGTGTTTGTCATCTGCAAAAATGAATAATGTTATTTCTGATTAAAGATGATTATTGTGTTCTTCTGCTTTTTTTAATGCCACATTATAAACACATAGACTTATTTAGTTTTGTATCATAAATTAAATCTAAGGATAATTATGAATGAAAACAGAATAGTACGTGATAATTATACACAGATCTGACCTAGGTTAATTTTAATGCAAGTCAGAAACAAGACAAGAACGCAAATGTGATCCGAAAGGACTTGCTCGTAACACTTTTCCACGTCCTAACACCAAGGACAAACAAAAAGTGGAATTTCTCCGGCTTCATCTTTCGAGGGTTCGTTAATTCCAAACCAAACATTAATAAAGGAATTGAAGCCAGTCGGACTGGCATAAACGGCGAGTAACTCATCTGCATGAACAGGTGGATAGAGGCGCCGAGCACACACGGGACCCGAAATGAAAAAAAAAAAAAAAACTCGGTGGAGGTCATGTGCCGCGAGAGAGAAAAATGTAGGTTCTCGGCCGGCGAGCGAGCCCGAAGCGCCCTACGCCACATCATCCCAAACGAACTGTGCGGTATTTTCGTTGGAGAGTGACCTCCGGGGTCACCAAGGAAGAATCCATCATCTCGGTGCGCTGCTCAGTTAGTGTGTGGGGGTCGCACGCGGCCAAATTAAACGCAAACAAAATCAAGCACATAATTTGCCAGCGAATTGTGCAACGGCCGGTCGAATATTATAAGTTTTTGTAACAGGATTTTCACGCCGCGTATACAGTATATCGTGGAACAGGATTTGTTTTGAAACAGGTGTGCGCCCAAAAAGTGATACAAAAGGTGAATCAAATTTGTTTTCCTTAAACTGATTTTTAAATAATTGCAGACTTGCAACTTCTAATCGAAATTGTTGGCAAATTAAACATCAAAATATTTTTACTCTGCCGTCTATAATTATTTGAATTTATTTTTGGGCGTCACTTATCACAAGATTGCTAATCGCTGTATTGTTAATTATAATTAATAAAAATAATTCTTGGACAATAAAGTAAAATACCTTTAACCTTTAGATTTATACAAGGAAAGAAGTAAGCGGTTGAAGAAAATCAATAAAATGCAAATTTACCAAATATTAAGCTCTTTTCTTGAAACTGTAACTGATCAATCAGGTATTTTTTTCATTTTTAAATTGATAGTTGAATATTTTCCCTCCGTAAAAGGAAATATAAATAAAAACCTTGACACTGTGTTAAATGATTTAAATATATGTCACTGTAAAATTCAAGAAAGTTGTTAATTTAGAAACCAATCTATTAGTTAGTTGTTTTCAAGCATACATGAATTAAAGGCCGATTGAAGTCTACTTTATTTTTTTAATTGGCTTTTAATTCTGATCTGAACTTCACTGTAGGCATTTTTTGTGCTTGCACGATTTTTTTTTTATTTAGTTCTACAAATTAAGGACAAAGCAAAAAATATCTTAATTTAATTATACACTAATTATTATTTTATTGACAGAAAAAATTCGTCTATTATCTTAATTTATTCAATAAATACCTTTGACACTGAATCATAAATACTAAATTATAATATTTCTTTCGGAATTGAAGTTTTTATTTATAGGAAAACCTGAAGTAACTTAGCAAGAGAAGCGCAAATAATGGCTTTTACATTCGTTATCCAAGCAAGTAGCGATTTTCATCTAATTGAAGTCATGTTTATGTTTGGCAACTGTCAATTGCGCAACAGAATAATTTCGTGACCATTCCTTCGAGTTAACCCACATGACCAGTTTCAGTTGTAGCGGGCAATGGACAAATAGGGGCATTGCACAGCAATGCATAAAAGTGTCACGTTTTATGATGCTATTGCTGGCCATTCCATCGATTTGACATTCCATTTTAAAATGCTCTGGAAACCACCCAAATGGATTGTTTTACGGCTTCCAAAAGTATAACGAAAATTCTCTCAGCCTTTATAATTGAAAATAGAGCCCAACTAATGAGCGAATTCATTAAGCTTGTTTGTTTATCAAATCGTAAAGGAAAACTCGTGAGCATAAAGCAGAAAATTTATAATACAATCGTGCATCCGAAATTCCACGAAAATAAAAAGCTAGAGCAGATTCGTGACTCTCTGGCCGGTTGTAAAAATCAGCGCTGATCAGGTGCTAACGAAGGAAATTGTGCGTTGTGCCCAATTACTGCGATTTGTACGCTTAATTCTGGACCTGCGCTTGCCGCAGTAAAATTATTTTCGTTATTATAAATTCAGACGCACTTTGGCACACATCAAAGTAGGCTGGAGCAACGCGAGATTTATCAGGTGCTATATGAGAGATGAGAAAGCGAAAAGCGATAAAAAAAATAAAGAGTTGAGGAGAGAGAACGGTAAAAGCAGGCTCGAGTGTCGGCAGGAAGGAATTCACATTAAACGAGAGAAACAAAAGTGGAGGAGGCGCCGCCGCCGCGTGCGCGAAACAAAAAGACAATGGCATCAATCTGCCGAAGAAAAGCACAAGTGTGTGCGTCTGCATAAATAATAGAAGAAAAAAATCTGAAAAATACAGGAACAAAAGCTTCAAAGTTGTGACAAAAGTTTCCGGCTATCCTTTTTAGGTCAAGTAACTTCTTCTTCATTTCAGTTGTTAATTAGCAGAAACACAGTATCCAAGAGGGAGTATGTTTTATATTTTTGGTTTATGAAAAAAAGTGGGTTATATCTTTTTGTTTTTGTCAATAGGTCACACCGATCGCGTTTGACCACCGAAGATTCCACATTTTTCTTCTGTGAATGACTCAATTAGATAATTATTCCAAGTTCTGCGAACGGATCTGGAATGGTATCCTCTTCAAAAAATTATGTGTATTTCAGCGACTGAGTTTTTTTTCCGACACGCACATCAGCTCCTGATCAGGATCCGGCACTTGCCGAGGAGAGAAAAAGGAAACGCAATTGCGGTTCTCACTCAATTAAGTTTGTTTTCAGGCATCTGCTCTAATTTTGGATTTGCGGAAAGTGGCTCCCGGCTGAGTTCATTAAACCAAAAAATTGCTTATCACGTAGATAATGAAGTAAAATTGTTTTTTAAAAAAAATGCATATCCCTATCAGCAAAATAAGACGAGAAAGATTCGAATTTCGAGAAAATTTTTGATAAAAATTATTGAATTATTGTGAAATTTTTCTATCCTTTTAAATTGTAAACTGAATCTCTGAAGTTACGCACAAAAATAATATACTTGTTCAATTATTAAACTATTTTTGAATATAAATTTGTTTGAATTTATAATTTTAAACTAAATTTTCTCTCAAAGAATTGTGCATTAAGAAAGAATTTTCTTGACTCACAGTCACGTTTAAGATAGTAATTTACTGTAATTAGGGCGTTATTTGTTTGACCGCCTTCACAATATATACTTTTTTTAAACGCAGACTCATTGTTCGTTGCTAAAATAATTGTCGTTTCAATAGCGTGAGCAAAAAAATGTAATTTCACTCGACAGGAACCACAAGCATGCCATTCGCAATTTGTATTCGTAATGAGTAATTTACTTTTCGCTATAGCGTAAAATTGTTCACAAATTTCATGCCTCTCCACGATACTTAATTTTGAATGAAGTCATCAGCAATGTTTTACAGTTTTCGGTTAATTAATTTCATAAAAGCCATCGTTTTAATCAGTCATAAAAATCAAGCCGAAAAATGCAATAAAAACTTTCAAACTGTTGTTCCGCACCTTCAAAAGTGCATTCTTTTCGAAAAAATGTTGAAAATTGCCTTTCGACGACGACTTCATTTGGGTTCAGCAGGCAGGAAAAAACATAAACGGCGCTTCATTGATGTATTTTCACCTTAAATAGAGAATTTAGAATTTACGATTTGATGACTGGTCCAGTTACAAAAACTCGCTAGAAAACCAAGTGACAGAAACAGCTGGACGCACAGAACCGCTGCG